AAGCTTAACAATGTGGCTACTGAGGTGTTAGCATCCATTTGGGGACCGGCTGGAACCAACATGCTCAAAAAGGGTTAAAGGGGTTCAAATTTAGTTAGTGAACCCAAATTCTTATTATATCTATTAGGTGGCTTCTAATAACAGACCCATTAACCATAAAACTCTGTTTATGGCCCTGCCAGACAAGGATGGCTAGTTCAGCTAGCTAGCCCAACCATTTTCTTTTTTAAAAGTTTCATAACTCATCAAAATTAATAAAAGACCATTAGTTTTACAAATGCATAAGGCAAATGATATTTATTATACCATTAATAGACATCAAAAAATGTGATTTGGAGGTCTTTTTTCCATGACCTAGGTACTTTTTTTACCCTTTGTATACCAAGTTTTTATTGTTTGTAAACCACCTAGAACCACTGAATGTGTGTGGGCAGCCATATACATTATCTAAATAAATAAATAATAGATAGGTACGCATAAAAACAAGGACCCATCTGAACCTTCTCCCAAGACAATTTTCATTCTAGCTCTAAATATGCAGAAACCCACCATCAGTTGTTGCCATCTCCAGGTAAGGATGGAAAAGCTGTAGACTTGAACTAGAGAAACTACAGACAGAAGTGTCAATTCAGCTCAGTATAAACCAGAGGTTTCCAAACTTGGCAACTTTTAAAACTTGTGGACTTCAACTCCCAGAATTCTCCATAGCTGGATTCTGGGAGTTGAAGTCCACAAGTCTTAAAAGTTGCCAAGTTTGGAGACCTCTGGTATAAAGCAATCCACATTTCCCAATGTGGACTCACTCCCTAATGATTGCTCCCAGAAAAAGCATTGACTATAGTGAGGAGAAACCATAGGAGTTGTAATGCAGCTCTTCTGAACAAAGGATACTCAGGGTAGGTCACAACTTTGTTTTCCCCAAATATGGGCTTCATAAGAAGTGAACGAAGAGGCAAAAGGAGCTTGTTTTTGGAAATGTTAATTAAAATAGATATGATTGTATAGGTCAGTGGTAGTCAACCTGGTCCCTACCACCCACTAGTGGGCGTTCCAGCTTTCATGGCGGGCAGTAGGGATTTTGTCCCCTACTTTATAAATCACCATTACTCTGGAATGGGTGGGTGGTTAGAGAAAAGTTTACTACTAACAGAGATAAAAAAGTGGGTGGTAGGTATAAAAAGGTTGACTACCCCTGGTATAGGTAGTAGTGATGCTAGGTTGGGTGAGTTAAAGAGCACTGAATGCAAACTGCAATGAAGAAGGCTAGTGAATAATATACATTTTTCCCTGGTGGACACCCTTTACCCTGATTTCTGAGCTAGAAATAACAGTAGAAATCCCTGATTTTTATAAAACTGCTTTTTAAATTCCCAAGACATTTGGTGCAAAGAATATGTCTGTTTTATCACATCTTGATAACAGCCTAGGGCTCTTCCCTTCTGCTCTTGGCTTCTTTTCCATTTTGATTTTGTCCTCTTAACTGGAAGTGACAGTCTCCTCTGGTGGCCCTCTCTGTGTACACCCTCCTGTGCAAATCTAGGAAATGGTGGAAGCTGTCAAGCCACCACTGAATCCAACCAGGGAAATTCAAGGTTCTGAGAAAGAAGCAGGCCCACCCATCATCTGGAATCTGACTGTTTCGCTCTTTTCCATGGTGACAGGAAAAATAAGTACAACGCTGCCTTGTTATTTTGCAATCTGGCACCTAAGTATCAATGAAAAAGCGAATGCATATGTGTGTATACATACCCCTACTTATGTGTTTGTGTTGAGTATGAAAAAAATGAATAGATTGGTGCACTGAGATGCTACTATTTAAAGTCATCTCTCTAATTGTAAATTTGGAGCCAGACTATGTGCAAATACACCTTGAATTAAAATGGTTGAAGCATTCCCTAAAGAATTCTGTGATATCTAGTTTCCCTCTCATGCCTACATAGTTCTCATATAGCTCTCATTTCTTAGGGATCACTAAGAACAAAGAGACGGTCTCTTCAGCTTTAAAAATATATGAAGCTGTACCCAGCTCAAAAATATATTTCTTATCCTGATAGTTTGGGGGCATATCTAAAATAATCAATCAAATAAGAGGAAGGAAAGAGATAATTTCTGCTTTTTCTTTCTCGGTTCAACATCAGCTTGAGGGGCTCTGTTCCCCTTTCTCTTTTACTTTTTTTCTTCAAACTACCCAATACTTGAGGAACTTTTGTGCATTTATTTGCTTGCTCTAATAACCATAGATATCAAACAGGAAAGAAGAAATCTCTCCAGGCTTGGAAATTCCTAAGACAGTGATAGTGAACCTCTTTGCTTGATGTACCAACAATTCAGAAAATGCCTAACTTGACTCTGCTGGTATGTCTCACACATACCGTCAAACAAAAGAGAAACAATTCTTTGCATATTTATTTTAAAAAATTCAATCCAATCGTGTGTGATCGCCAGGATCTGTCATGTACCACTTACCTTCAGACGGTGTCCTCTTTCTGTTGACAGGCCCCTGAGGCCTACCCAAGATGCCTCTGGATTGCACAAGGACTTCATTGAACCTCTTGAAGCAGCTTCAGAGAATGCTCTTCTGTGGCATCTGCAGCCTCCAAACACCCTATGAAAGCAAACTCTGTTCTTGCATGATTTTTGGGCGCTCCTGTGCTCTTTGTGCAGCCGTCTTGTATGAGTTCCAGAGGGTTTGGATACCATATGAGAATATATCCCATTCTCACACGGCCTCCAGAGCCTCCAAAAATCATTCAAAAAAGGGCATGCTTTCAAGAATAGTTGTCAGGTGCTAGTGAATAGGGCATGTCACCTAAAACATTGTGGCATATCGTCTTTGATCACTGAACTAGGGGATGGAAGAGATGCTTCATAATAGAGACCCAGCTCTTCACAGGATGATGGAAGTTGATTTATACCATGAGGGAAAGAAACTATTGCTACATTCCAGAATGTCAGAGAAGAACATTTCCCGGCAGTTATTAAACCTCCATCTTCAGCATGCACTCTTCATTTGACCCAACCCTAATTATGGCCCTTCCCTTCATAGCTATCTTGCCCCTGTGTAATGTGAAATAACCAGAATAACCAAAAACAAGAAAGGGAATTTTAAAAAAAATCAATGTAAATGTGCATTGCAGCCTAAGTACAAAATTGCAGAGGGCCTCTGTTTTCAGGTTGGTCAAAAGCTGACTTTTTCTTTTCTGATTTCATTCTTTTTGAAATTATTCATCATGCCCATATAATTTTAAAGTATTTTTTTTCAGGTTGCAGAAATAAGCATCTAGTGATGGTAGTTTAGAGCCAAGCAAATCCAACCAATGGAGTAGTTTAGTAGGCATTAAGTATTATTGATTGCCTAGCTTGTTAGCTGGCTCCAGCTCTGAGAGGCTTGGACCCAAACAGCTGGAGGAGGACAAGTTGGAGAAGGCTTAATCAGATTATTATCACTTGCTTACAATTATTCTACGGAATTCCAAAAATAACATAAGGGCTGTCTGGGCTCTTTTCGTGCAAGAGCTGACCAGATTGTGACCAGCTTTAACAAAGTGGTCCTTGAGTTTTGAACCCCAGCCTGATCCTAATGCACTGCCTTTCCTATCAGTATAGACCAGGGGTGGGGACCTTGTTCTGACCCAGGCTTCATCAAACATAATTAATCACAAATGTGTTTTAAAAGCAAAACGTAATTTTTTGCAACGCTGGGAATTGTTTTCATTCCCAGCCAAAACTAATCTTAAAACAGTCCCCCAAGATAAGCACACCCCTTTCAGTTCTGTGGAATGTGGCCTAAAACAGAAGTATCCAATTAACTATAAAAGAAACCAACCGAAGTACAAGAAAAAATTAACCAAAGTACGCAGAGCTTAGGGATGACTCGTAACCAATCGAACTACTTTGCTTCCTGCAAAGGTTTCTTCATTGAGGTCTCACTTTTATCCCTTATGTGAGGGGCCGTCACCTCCCAGCCTTACTCCCGACTCGCCCCTTTTGTTTCAGCTGCTCTCGCCTTCTAGCAGCTCTGCGCACACGCACACTGGAACAGGCTCCCCTGGGTCCTCTGCTTCATTGCTGCCAGACTCCAAAGGCTCTGAAGGCAGCACCTCACTCCCAGATGGTCTTGGCCCCTTGACCCCTGACTGGTCCCCTTTCTTTCCCACTATCCGATTCCACTGCCATCTGCACTGGCTGCTGGTGTACCACAACAGACCTATGGCCCCTTTGAGACCTGTGGACTTCAACTCCCAGAATTGGCTCAGACTATTAGAATTTATGTCTCTTTTGAGACATGGCTGGCTCAGGAATTCTGGGAGTTGAAGTCCACAGGTCATAAAGGAGCCATAGTTCCCTGCCATAAGGAAGTGCTTCTTGAGTTTATGCCCACAAGCAGCTGAGTGTTCACAATGCTTCCATGATACAATGCTACTGTGATCTAAAAAATTGTTATTCTTGAGGGGAAAAAATGGAAGTAACCCTAAGTTCCTGAAGCATGTGAGTACAGTGTATGTACAGTATTATGTGGGGAGTGGGAATGTATATACATTTAAGTGGGAAAGGCTGGTCAAAACAACCCATAGTAGAAAAGGTAGGATTAAGAATCTAAGAGTAAAGATGGATATGTGTCTTATATAGTAACAGATGGGAAGCAGGACAATTTGAGAGAAAAAATGTACATGTCAGCCAACAAATGTGTGAAAATAAGTATGTGCAGATACAGAACTAAATGTTTACCCTTAGAGTCCTCTTGTTTTGAAAAAAAATGATGATGGGTTCAAAAAAGACAAAAATTCTAATAGATATTGCAAATCTACAAGAACATCTGGGGGAAAATATAGGCAAATTCAGAGTTTCTTTAAGCAAGAATTATTATAGCATCTTTTCCTGAGTTCCAGCTAAAATTCTGTCCATAATTTCAGTTGATATACATGGTTTGGATTGGTTTGCAGGGAGATTTTGTTGCTAATAGTTAAGCAATAGTTTTATGTTTAATGTTTCTGTTTCAGGAGGAAGATCAAGAATCAGAAAATGAGAAACTAGTAGTAAAGGAACCTGAGACTGAAGATGGTAAGTTTTGGGTTTTTAAATATCTGGAATGTTGTTAGACATGGGAGATCCCAATTAACACAAACAAGGTCAGTTTAAGCCCTAATATTTAATACTATTTATGAAAATGGAAGAAGAGTTATTTTTTTGTCATTTATTCATCCATTCATTTAGAAAATGCACGATAGGAAAGAAAACTGCTAGAAAAACAAGTATTAATACTTAGACCTAAATTATGTCATATGAACTTAGGAGCAGATACATTCTCAATCTTAAGAAAAATACAACACTATAGACTTTTTTCTTGAAAGAAATGTTAAAGTGCTTCCTCCAGCCCTTGATCTGGTGGAAGAGTATGCTGGCATAAACTGCATAGTCCTTGATGCTGATTCCAACCCTGCCTCAATGAAAAGATCAAAGAGTGATGCTCTCCTTACACTTTTAACGTGGAACAAGTAAAGGAAAGTAATAGCTTCACTTGTCCTTCAGCTAATTGTTAGGGCAAGTTTTGACTAAAGGCGCATTGTGCAACAAGGTCACATAGTGTAATAAGATTGGGACTGGGTTAGGGACTTCTGTCCTCACTGTGAGTTATGTTGGGGTGGGGGTTGCACAAAGGGAGGTTCAGCCAATCTCATTGTACACATGTTGTACTCTGACAATAAAGGTAATAATAATAAAGTAGTAAATTTGGCCAACTGATACCAATAGCTATTCTAGCTAGGAATTGTAGATTTGTCATCCCGCACACATTGAGGAAGGCTGCACTAGCCAAACATATTTTCTCTGCAGAGTTCAGAAGGCTACATCTAGAGGCTGCTAATTTTCTTATCATAATCTCCAGCCTTGTAGGTAAGAGTGAGAGATAGTGTTCAAGGTTATTTCTAGGGCTGACTCAAGATATTTTGCCAACTGAAATACATTCAGTTGTGTTTCCTACAAACAACAAATAATTGTGGTTTGGGCCAGAAAGCTCAGTTTAGGAAATTTGTACAAGGGCTTTCTGACCCAAACCATGTGTTTGCTGACTCCAATAGGGCACATCCAACAGAACAAACAATCTTGGTGACTTCGTTAAAAGTATTATGGTTAGCAATACAGTATAGATAAACTTACCCTGAGGACTTAACTCTTTGCAGAATGATACATTCTGTTAGTAAGCTTTATGCTATGAACCAAAAATCCTCAGGGCAAGCCAATCATTTGAAACAGATTTCTAAGTCCTAGCTGAAAAGATTGATAAATTACTATATTGTAAATTATTATATTGTAAATGTGGGGTTTTTTTTTTCCCTGAAAGGGTGGAAGAATACAGACAGGAACTATGCTTCCTTGCCCCATTTTCCTGCAATATTTTACGGCTATAAAGCTATTGGCAGATTACAGTTCTAACACTTCATCCACATATTCTGTTTTATAGAGGAGGAGGAACCTCCTCTATATGCTACAGTTCATATAGCAAGACCATCTTTTAGAGAAGAAAAAATTGCCATATTGCTCATTGACCATCTTCATATATCTTAATTCTCATTCTGATACACAGCAGCAAAGTAATATTTCTCATTTCCAAGCCAGGAAAGTGTTCATATGTAGCAAGAAAAAATCATGTATCTAAATAAGAGATAAGAAGCCATATGGCATTTGGAAGAAATCAATCGCTTATCTTGTGGCCCAGAATTGTTTCCATTGGCTAATTCCAGGGTTTTCAGCAAAGGCATTTCTGTTGTCTGGTATGAAATCCAGCCTTTCTAATAACTTGGCAGATACAACAGGATATTCAGCCATTCATGCAAAACATTTGCTGTACGACTGAGGCACATTCTTTTCCCAAGAAAAACCACACTTACTGAATTCCACCTTCTCAACCTTTAATGGGGCGGGAGGGGGGGGAGAGTCAGAACTCAGTAGTTCAGCACATTCATGGTAGATTCCAGAACTGGGGAGCTGATTGGTCTAGTGATCCCTCTCCTGCAGATGTGAGAATTTCAGTTTCTCAAAATTTTCCACTTCTGTGGAGTCCCTGGTATTCTTTGAGCCTGATTATTTGCTTGCAGATGTTTCATTAGCTGACTAGGTAACAATATCAATGCAGGTGTCTATAGACTTTGATCCCTGTTTATATGCAGTAGCTTGCCCTGCCAGTGTTGCTGGGATATGATTTTCTCTGGTAGTTCCTTGATCAGGGTAATGTTTCTACGTGATTGTTTGTTTGATGTTAATCCCTGCTTTCAGGAACTCTATAAAAAGATAATAGACCACCTATACAACATATTCCAACAAAATTGGTAACTCAGGCAACTTTCAAAAATGCCTGACCATTCAGCCCACTACAGTGCAATCAACACAAGCTATGAAAAAGTTAACATGACATAAATCAAAAACATATCAGAAACAACCAGCAGACTGTTACAAACACATGGCATCATCATAGCATGCAAACCAAGTTAAAGGCCGCTAAAACATCTTGAGGAAATCAAAAGATCCAGTAGTCCAAGAAGAAGAAGAAAGAGTAATCTATAACATACAGGGTAAAGACTGTAATATCCTCTTAGTAGAACAGATAAGGAGGAGACTAGCATGAAGCATCCATGGACATCAATTAAAATTCAGAAGACATGATGAAAAACTCTTTAACCTCACAACACTGGACAAACTCAACCATGCTTTCAATTGGGAAACTGACATTTTTGTTGTTGTTGTTAGTCGCAAAGTCATATCCAATCCATTGCGACCCCATGGACAATGTTCCTCCATGCCTTCCTGTCCTCTACCATCTTCTGGAGTCCATTTAAGCTCACGTCTCCTGCTTCAGTGACTCCATCCAGCCACCTCATTCTCTGCTGTCCCCTCCTTCTATTACCCTCAATCTTTCCCAGCATTAGGCTCTTCTCCAGTGAGTCCTTCCTTCTCATTAGGTGGCCAAAGTATCTGAGTTTCACCTTCAGGATTTGGCCTTCTAAAGAGCAGTCAGGGTTGATCTCCTGTAGGACTGTCCGGTTTGATCGCCTTGCAGTTAAGGGACTTGCAGGAGTCTTCTCCAGAACCATAGTTCAAAGGCCTCAATTTTTGGCACTCAGCCTTTCCTATGGTCCAACTTTCACAGCCATACATTGCAGGCTTCACACAAGGAAAGCAACCAAAGTCTGTCTTTCTCTCCCTCAAACTCCACCAGAAATGAGTCTTCGCTGGTGCAGCCTCTTGGAGCAGGATGCCTTGCAGGGTCCCAAACACTCATTTCTGGTGGAGTTTGGGGCAGAGAAAGAAAGACTTTGGCTGCTTTCCTTGTGTGCAGCCAAAAACAAAAGAAAGAAGCTGAAGAAGCAACCCAGTGGCCAGGCAAGTTCTCTCCCTCCACCCTTTCCCCCCTCCTCTCACTACCTCATGTTGTTCCTAATGCAAGCATGGAAGCCTTGTGTTTCTGCAGGCCATGTGGGCGGCGCAGCCTTGTGTTCCCCACAGCCTGGATTAATTGCTTTGGGAGGTTGCTTTAGGGTGGCATTTTTTTGCAGACCACCAAAATATTCTCGCGGACCACCAGTGGGCTGTGGCCCACTGGTTGGCAACTGCTGTTCTAGGGTGTTAGCTATTCTTACCAGCTTAGTATCACCTGCAAATTTGGTAAGTTCCCCTTCTATTTCCTCATCTAAGTCATTTATGAAGATATTGGGGAGTACTGGGCCTAAGACAGAACCTTGTGGCACCCCCACTGCTTACTTCCCTTCATGTGGACTTAGACCCATTACGGACTACTCGTTGAGTACGGTTTGTCAGCCAGTTGCGAATCCATCTGGTGGTGATGTTATCTATCCCACTTTTTTCTAGCTTACCAAGAAGTAGGCTAAGAAGAGGCTAAGGTTGTGGTCTACTTTGTTGAATGCCTTGCTGAAGTCTAAGTATATTATGTCTACTAATTCAGTCACTTGTTGAAGAATAAAATAAGATTGGTTTGGCATGATTTGTTTTTAACAAACCCATGCTGACTGCTAGTTATAGCCATCTTCTTTCACAGTAGTCCTTCAGCTCTAAAGGCCACCAAAAAAAAAAAAAAAGCTAAGAAATTGCTGGTTGTTCTGGGCTAAATCCTAAACTCAGATTAACAATCTCTGTTTACACAATAGGATATTTATATGTAGTTCCCCATTTGTATGGGCTATAATGCTCTAATAAAGTTTGTTTTTCAGGACAGGTGTACATTATGTTTCAGCTCTGTTCTAAGCTCGAATCAAATAGTTGCTGTCTCACTAGATGTGTTCTGACTAACCATTATTCTAAAAGTTATTTTTAAGATTGGAACCCTTCCAGTGAAGTTGGAACAGCCTGTTTTGTACTACGAGGTAGCTCAAACTCAGAATGTTTTTCACACCCTTATTTTTAAGACACCACAAACTTCTTATTGCTATTTCTGCAGCATTCTTAAACAAAGCTACCAATTAGAAATTCAAACAATGTAGAACAGTGATATTAAAATAATAATTGTGGAAGCCATTTACAGAGTATAAAAATCCAAGTAAATTCAGTACTGAGGCCTATGAGAATCAATGGGAATGACTCATATTGCATCATTTACACCCTAACACCCTACTATAAAGAGGCATATTAATGGACTTTCACTTGATGTCTAATATGAATCAAATTCTACAAAATGTTGCTAGGTGAATCAGAAACTTGGTAAATAGTCAATAATAAAGAGTAAATCCTAACTTTATTCTGACAATCTGGGGTGAGATGGTACAGCCTTGCAGATGACTGAACTTGTTGATTAATTAGAACATAGAACATTGAATAGTAGAGTTGAAAGGACCTTGGAGGTCTTCTAGTCCAGCCCCCTGCTTGAATAGGAGACCCAGTACCATTTCAGACAAATGATTGTCCAGTCTCTTTTTAAAAACCTGCAGTGATGGAGCACCCACAACATCTAAAGGCAAGTTGTTCCATTGTTTGATTGCTCTCACCGTTAGGAAATTTCTCCTTAGTACTAGGTTGCTTCTTCTCTAGGGTAGTTTCCACCCATTGTTTCTTGTCTTGCTTTTTGGTACTTTGGAAAATAGTTTGACACTCCATCCCCCTCATTTGTAGGAGCTCCTCAAATACTGAAACACTGCTATCATGCCTCCCTAGTCCTTCTTTTCATTAGACTAGACATACCCAAATGCTGTAACTGTTCTCTGTATGTTTTAGCCTCCAGTCCCTTAATCATTGTTATTGCTCTTCTCTGCACTCTTTCCAGAGTCTCATCATCTTTTTTATATTATGGTGATGAGAGTGGGATTAAGTGCCATCAAATTGCTATCAACTCTTAGCTACCACATAGACAGGTCTTCTTAAAAAAAAAATGTCTATCCCATTCATCACTACATCTATCTGCTATAATTGATCATCCTTTTCCTTTCTTTCTTTATATCTTTCCTAGCATTAGCAATTTTCTCCAGAGATTATAAATTTCTCAAGAGGCGATGCCTAATAGGATAACCATAATGTCCACTCTGTACATTTTGTATGTACGTATATGGGACCTACAGTACAACAAAACATAGGAATGGTGTTTGCTCTTGTTCGCACTAGATCAGCCATGCCGCCTTCCATGTCTTCTCACCCATTTCTCTCCCAACAGTTAGTTTTTCATGGCACTTGAATATGCCCAATGTTGGCTTTTTAATTTTTTAAAAAATAGTATATTTCATTGGGCTTATCCCCAAGTCTGCTGATATTACCCTCTGTGTTGAAGGTGCCATTTGTCTGTGTAAACCTTGATGCTCACAAACGTAACATCAAATTAAATTTGGATGGTTAAAATTGGCTTTTTCCTTTCAGTTCCCAGGGTCCCTACAATTTCTAGATATTGTGGCAAGATAACCTTGCTAAGTGCTAAGTAAATACTGCACAAAGTGCTTCCTTCCCATCTGCATCCTAGTGATCCCAGGGCTTGGACCTTTCATGAAAATTACATGTCATTTCTGGCTAAAGCTTATTAGATTAGGAGCAAAATCCTATTTGATGGCTCTGTATTTTTTCAAATGAGTTGCAAATTGCTGACAGTTATATCATTAATGCTGCTAATGTTATGGCATATTTATGTACTCAGATTAGCTACATTATTCAGACTCTAATGGTGAAAACAGCACTGAACCACTTTGACAATCATGGTATCAATACTGTTGTTGCAAATAAAAGTTTTAAGAATGACATTCACCACCACTGTCTTTCCACTAAAAAAAGGCACAGCTACATCTCCTTGCTTTAGGGTCTTCATCTCGAGGTCCAGAGGAGCAGCAAATAAATCTAATAAATAATAATAAGTGAATCCAATCTTACTGTGAAGCAATGATTTAGAATATAAAAAAGAGGTAAAATCTCTGGCTGGGTTTTGGTTTATTATAACACTTAAATGAGAGCAGATTTCCAATTTAGGGGGATCAGGAAACATAATTTGTTGTTATTACATGAAGGGCAAAATCCCAACCCACAGCATAAAAATTCTGTTCTTATCAGATGATGGAAAAGAAGAATGGATGATTTCCATCGATTTGTGACCAGCTAGTGGCATTAACAGTGGTCCATATTAATACAGAAATTAGATTCAGACATTGCATTACATGCTACAATTTATGTAATCATGATATATACAATGATTCAGGGCATACTCTGTTTTTAATACAAATAATTTTCATTATTGGGAACCTTTCTACAATTCCAGTTCTTTCTCTTTTCCACTACTACATCCCCAAATCTGGTTCAGCATTGAACCAAATTGGAGGGGGGTGGAATCCTCCTTATAAATCAAACACACCTAAATAACAAAGTAAGTTGGCAGGATCCAGCAATTCTTTTCAGTGACCAGATTCTACAATATATATGAACATAAAGGAAGAAAAGAACAAGGAGATTGACCAGAATGTGATTTTAAAAATAACATGTTTCAGTATGTTAATAACTTCACCACAGCAAATAGCCTTTCTCTTCTTTCTCTCATTCTCTTGTAGCAGATGAAAAGTTCTCTTTTAAATATAGTCCTGGAAAACTGAGAGGAAACCAGTATAAAACAATGATGACCAAAGAAGAGCTTGAAGAGGAACAAAGGTAAGTTGGATTTTCTTTAAATTCAACAAAATAACTCAAGATTCTGACCCCTCTCGTTTCCTCTAAGTTGCTGTCTCCCATCAAATATAACTGGTCTTAGGTATATTTAGCTTTTTCCAGTTGAATCAGTATAGTCTTTTTAGGATCAAAGATTAATTCTTGGGTGATGTCTCAGTCATGAAGAACCTGGCCCACTTCCTTGGAAATGGATCTGTTAGCTGCTTCTCATTTCCCGGAGCATTTGTCAAAGTAGCAGGATTTATAGGGGATGTTCTGGTGCCAAAACCACCAAGTAAAAGCTCAGTTTAAACAAAACTCCACATAAATCTTGTGGTTCCATACCTTGGTCATTATTATGATTACCAAGCACATTAAAGTGATGAGAGAACAAGTCTTCATATCCCCCCTAAAAAAATTCTTCCAATTCTAACATTTTACAAAAACTTGTTTTTATTCACCATAAATGCCAAAAGAATATCTGGGTCAAATATTTCAGTTTAGCATTAAGAAAATTGAAGTGATTACCTAACTCCCTGACATATGGCTATTCAGAAATAAATTCAATAAATGACTTGCTATCTCAGAAATTGTTTAGGAATAGTATGGTAGAACAATTGCAGCACAGATGCATCTGGGAATAAGTATATACTGATAGAGTGTGTTTAGAACATTGTTTTCCTGGTTTAAAAATAGATCAATACTGTATTCCCTTTTGCTAAAGGTCTTGCAATTCTAGCTTATATTGGTACTTAGTTTTTTGCTAAAATTTGATTACAAATTTTGCTCCATTATGTTTACTGTGAGCCTTAGAAAAAAATGTGTTTCTAAATCGAGATCCAAAGTTTGATCCATTAATGATCTGACTTGATGAGGTTCATATTCTTGCAAATTTAATCAACCCCATAAAGTCTGACCTTTACTTTAAAAATACATTCTTCACAACAATTCCATTGTTGCATTATTATTTATTCAGTAATAAAAATTATAAACTATTAGGATACACAAAAGTAAAAATATTGTTCTTTCATCTATCAGCGTTCAATTGAAAATCTACTAAAACTACAAAAATTGTATGTTTTGGAATAGAATATTCTGATAAGGGAAAAAAAGCTGAAATAACATATAAACTCATAATTAAAATAGGTAATCAAACCTAATGTGACAGTTGCAAACAAAATTCCCATAGAACATTTAAAGAGATACATTTTTATCAGACCATTTGGTTGAGGCTTAGGTGAGCCGCTAAATTCAAGTTCATTTGGTTGCTTTCAGTACAAATTTGGTTCCTTTATGTGGACCTTTTCTTTTGTTCAGAAAGCTGCACATTTTTTGAGTAACACAGTGTGGGAGGGAAAGGGGCATGGTAAAAAAAATTGGGTGCATGAAATGCAAAACTGAATTTGGTTTAATTGGAAGTTAATTGAAATTAAATATAGTTAGTTAAACAAAGCTATAGTATGATTATTTCTGTGTATTTAATTTTATATACTAAATTAACAATTATTGTATTTGTCAAAACTGGGGAGAAATTGGGGTCTTAGTCTTATTTGGGGGTGGATTACTTGTAAATCTGGGGCATGAGTTGTGCATACCTCTACTAGACCATTTGATTGAGGCTTAGATGAGCCACTAAATTCAAGTTCATAGGAAGGATCAAATCCAATGGATGAGTTTTCTTTTCTGCTGAACAGCTGTGTAGAATTTCAGGCAATGCTATGTCAACCCTTCAGTAATGCAGCATGAGAAGTTGCCTATACCAATGTTCCTCCTGTTTAACTAGGAATGTCAGGTTGTCAATGCATGTGTGCCTCCTATTATCCAGTTCTTGATCTAAGATGTACACCAACAAACAAAATAATTCTTAACTAGCGGTTAAGTCATTTCTACTGTGGATTTTTTGGTGGAGCCGAGCAATTATGTAACCATGTAGAGAAGACCACTGATTCTGTGAGTGAACTGAACAGGTTTTAAATGTGTATATAGGAGGCGCAGTGCCCTAGCAGTCCAGATGTTGGGCTTGTTGACCAGAAGGCTGGCAGTTTGAGACCACCCAAACACCACATGATGGAGTGAACTCCCATTCTTGGCCCAGCTTCTGCCAACCTAGCAGTTCAAAAGCATGAAAATGCAAGTAGATATATAGGTACCACTTTAATGGAAAGGTAGCAGTATTCCATGAATCTTGGCCTGTAGCCATGCTGGCCATATGACCACGGATCCATCCTTGGATAATGCTCCCTCAGTTAGGAAACAGAGATGGGCACTGGTCCCCTAGAGTTGGAAACAACTGGGCAGGGGAAGCCTTTTTCTTTAAACGTGTATATATTCAGTTTAAATATATAGGTAATCCTTTTATCAGTCCTAATTTGGAGAAGGGTATACCACTGAAACAAATGACATTCTAATCATATATATTGTTGGAAGAAGAATAGCCTTTCCTAAAGTATCAGGTATAGTACATTTATCTGCTGAATTGTAGGTCAGGAAGAGACCTGTAGCTCATTAGATGTCTTATAAATGGTCTCATTGATTGAAGAGATACTCATTCCCTGTTCTGTTGAAATGTCTTCAAATATTGTTAGTGCAATGGTTCTTTGGGAGAGAATTTTATAATAATTTAACAATACAGCAAAGATACAAATCCACAAACTTTGATTATTTGCTGAGGTTCATCTCTGAACAATCAAAAGGTTTTTTTTTTTTTTGGTATACATTTTATTTAAGGCTATTGTATATCATCATCAGTACTCTGAGCCATCTCAGACTATAAGTATTATTTATCTCCCATTCTTCCATTGCACTCAAAACATTCAGGGCACATTGCATATTTGCATTCATGTACAAATCCCAAAAGTGCAAATGAGTTGCATTCCTTTAATTATACTTTTTTTAAATAATGGAATTATAGGCAGCACTGTCCAACAAATCAAGATTCCTGGAGCATTCCTCCATTATCAAATATTCAACACTCCCAAGTCTGATTTGCTGGACTCCTATCATGTCTACTGATACCAATACGGTATCAAAATTTCCAAAATTATTAGCTAGTTTTTTACTGAGGCATCGCTGGCAGGCAAAAGAGGCTCTAGATAACTATCCCATTGCTGCGTTCATTTTTGCTTTGTGAATGGTGTGACTCATATTTATTTCCTCTATTTCCTCTGCCTATTGATGAATCTAGTTTGACTAGTTATGACTAGATGCTGTCTTCCTGGGCCTTAGATTACTTATTTGATTCTCTTGGGCACTATGAGAAAAGTAGCGTCAATAGGCCTTTAGAAGCTATCGATAATGCTGTGGCTCTATAGCAGTCAGTCACGCATACCATGCTCCCGTGTGCCAAAACTTGCCATACCAGTTGTGCACCATAGGCAGCTGACCAAATACAACTATTAATAGAATTACATACTTCATCTCATTATTCAACCAGCAGATGCACTTTGAGCCCTTTGGAACTAAATGCAAACGCTGCATCAGTTCCAGACACTCTGTGTTAGTCAGGCCTGCTTTGACAATTGGCAGATCAGCCTTCTCTGATGTGGTGCCCTCCAAATGTATTCCACCTGCCACCTTGGTTGGAAATGTTAAGGGTTTGCGTCCCACGCATCTGAAGAATTACACACTGGAGAAGTCAAGTGTAAATATTAATTTCTCAGGCACATTCTCAGGAATCCTATGTCACTCAGAATAGGTTGCACTTGGAGCAGCTTTGTAAACTAAAATAACAAATGCAACCATAACAAAGCCTCTTGAAAAAAGCACCTTTGGGACAATAACGAAGCGGGATTCCCTGACCTTTGTTACGGAAGTGTTTAAAGATAACCAAAACTGATCTTTTACCTGACACAAACCTGAGTAACTCCCTAGGACAGCTCTTTCCTAACGAAAAAAAAAGGGTTTGTTAAGGACCTTTTCCACCTAAACCCTGATCGCAGCTACACCAACCAGGGTTTCCTGTGTCCTTTATCTACTTTCCAATTTCACCTGCCCTACTTAATGCTTGCTGCCTTGGTCTGTGCAGAGCTATTTGCAAACTCCTCCCCCCCACACCTCTTCTGCTAATGGGCATCTGGCAGACTGTTGCATTTCTTCTAATGGTTTCTGTTTCTTGTCACTGTGACCTTGTCTGTCTGTCTGTGTTTGTTTCTCCCAGCTTTTTTTGTTTTGTTTTGTTTTTTGTCCCATTCCCCACCCCCCTCGGAGAGCTGGTGGTGGCATCAGCATTTTTCTATTTCAGGCTTTTCCAAACCCTCCTCCTTTGTTGTGGTTTCTTTGGACAGGGTTGCCCTCAGGTAAGGAACTACACTGAATCAGCTGAGGAAAGCCATGCCATCCGCCCTTCGAGCCTTTGGTTCTTCATGCCATGTGCCTGCGTGTGCACCCTGATCCTCCCTGGCTTTCTTCCTTTTTTTTTTTTCCTCCTGTTGGGCATTGCCTGGCATTGCTGCCATTTTGATGTGACCCAGGTTTGCTGCCTTTATTATATTGCAGGATTGAACTGACCTCTGACCTCACATCCCTGTAGCAAGTACCTTAGGTCCTCGGCCACAAACATTCTAGCAAATCTTTTTGGTAAGGAGATGATACTTCTTAGAAGTAGTGGTTCCACTTATAACCTCTGCTAATGTGACTGGAAACTAAAATTGACCATGTATTTTCCCCTCCCCCTGCACCTCCTCCCCTTCTCCCTATTCATAACTAATAAAATAGTCTCCCTCTCTTCTGTGCCCCGTTTCATTTATCAGGAGCACCACACTTCAGCGGAACAAAAGAGGTGTCCTTTTGCCTAGTGGAACATATGCTGCTGGCCTTTCCCATCTATTACCTCACCCACAGTCTTTAGCTAAGAGGAGGAACGTGTCCTTCCAATTTGAAGTCTGAACTTTGGGCAACTTGGCCAGTTCAATGAGTTCTGGGTGACAGTTCTGTACTTTTGGGGCTGGAGGAACCGTCTGTCCGAATCAGTCATATGTAGCTGTTTCTATGGAGGAGATTAAGGC